AAAAACGATAATATAAATAAGTAAAAAATAATAAAATTAATAGTTATAATAGTATTATTATTATTAAAAGAATAAAAAGGCGTTAATAGATAATAAAATTACTAGCTAGCCTATTAATTTTTAATAATTATAAATAACCTTATAGCTTTAAAATTACCTTAAATTATCGTTAAAGTTTAAATTAATTCACGTATTCTTTACTAGGCTAGAATCAAGTAAATTCTATATCACAGTATTTATTAGATTCTTCTTTATCTATTTTATTGCTTTTAATATATTAGTTAACCGATTTAATTCTATATACTCCTAGTAATTTAAAAGAGCCTTTTTAACTTCTTTTTAGCTTAATACCTTTATTACTATTATAGTTATTACATGATTTTTAGTCTATAAGGTAGTAAAAGCTGAATTTATTATCGCGATAAATTATAACATTAATTTATTACTTTTTCTCTTTATTATACCACTTTATACTAAATTCGCTGTAAATCTCGCTAGCGTTAATATTCTAATTAAGTTTAGGGTTAACGCTATAAGTGCTATAAAGGCGTTTTAATTATCCCGTTTATTAAGCTAACTATATTTTAGATTACTAGAAATAATAGTAAAAGCGTTAATAAAGTTATTACTAGACTTATTAAACATAAGCCTAGGGCTTTTTAACCGTTATAACTCGCGATTTCTCTCTGCTACCTTCGTAAAAGCAGCTTAATCGCTAGCCTTAATTATATTCTAGCTAGTAAGAAGGTCTTTTATAAATATTTCTAATTAGGTATTAAATGTAACATTATTATTAATTAATAATAGCTTTTAAATAACTTAATTTGCGATTCGTAAGGGCTCTTTATTACGAACGACACTACACAAGACACGGGATAGGACCCTATAATATAACTAAATTAATGTAAAATTTACACATTAAGTTTATTTGTTAGCTAGATTAAATATATATCTCTTATTTTATAGAACTTAATAAGAAATTCCTATAATTTAACGGTACTATTAGAGTAATTAATAGTATACATGTTAATAGTATATATATTAAGGCGTTTATTCTAGTAAGGTAATAATAGCGATTTTAATCTTAAAAGTATTAAATATTATAAAATGTATTTATAGCTGTGAATTTTAAGGGATTATTCACATATATACTTATTAGCACTAAGGGATTAATTAATAATACTAAGTTACTTTATCTAAGGTCTTTCTAAGTATTAAAGGGAAGGTTTTACCTTAATAATACTAGCTTTAGTCTTAAAAAAGGTATATTAATGCCTTTTAAAGGTAAGTAGTATTATTTTTAGGATTTTAAAGAGGAAAACTATTAGCTAATAATAGAAAAAGAGCTATATAATTATTATTACTTATAGCTTTATATATAAGTTAAATAATAATTTAAAAAAGTAAAACGTAAATAAAAGGTAATCTAATATAACGCGGTAAAGTATAAGTACTTAAATTAAATTTAATTAATTTATACTATAATAGGTTTATTTAACTTTATTACGCTAAATAGCGTTAAACCTATAGTATTAAGTT